TTTTCACAAAACTGTCATATCTTATGATAATCTTTAGATCTAACATAATCTTAAGACAACTAGATACATGTCTTAAGTCTAAAGTGAAACTTGCGACAGTATGTATTTTGGCTAAAAACCGAAGGATATTTAAAGAAAACGTTTTTAGAGATAGAACAATCCTTTAGACTATATCAGGCCAGTCAGAACAATGACACTCCCCCCCCCCCCCCAAACCCCCCACCCCCACCCCCAAAATATTGCCAAAAAATATACGATTAAAAACTAAAATGTACCTACTTTATGTATTTCCACTTTATTCATTTCAAGACATTTTCTTTGCTTGTGCACCCTCCCAACCGATTTCCACCCCCTATAGAAACCCCAAATGCTTCTTTGGACCATGTGTAATTTTATGGATTTGATAAGTCCATGAATTTTACTTTAATTTATTTTGTTACATTATGGCAGACAATATATAAATGGTTTTTATATGTTTGTAACTGTGGTGATTTAATTTCAAATTAAACATTTTATTCAGTCGTACAAAATTAGATGAGGTATCCTTATTAATCCACAGGAATGTGTATGACAATGCAATATGCTGTAATATTTGATGCTGTATGTACTTGCTTTCTTTATGCTTATTCTTAATAATACTGAAACCCTAAAATTTTGAATGGAATTTTTTCTTTTGTTTATCTTCTTCATCTGTCAGGATTGTTATTTTGCTGCAGTAGTTGAAGCGCTACAAAGACACAAAAAATTTTACGACGAAGACTTCAATTTTACCACACTTTCTTTTTTTAATTTGATAAAAATATTTTTCTAAGTAATTGAATCAAATTTATTCATAAAATATTTCTGTAATGTAATAGAAAAATAAGATTTTCGCTGCTTAAATAATTTTGTATAATGGGGGGGGGGGGGTTGCTCTTAGTTGAAAGATTTTTTGTGAAAGGGCTACTGCATCGAATATATTTTATTAACGAACTTTGAACACAATTTGGTGTTTCAAATGGATTAATTGAAAAAAATCTTTCATTATTTGCAAAGCTTCAGATACAGTAGTAGTTTTAATTAAAAGTGATCACATGCATTTTGTCAAAAACTTCTATTTCCCGAGCAAAAAGACATTTCAGCAAATTTTATTAATTTTTTTGTGATGAAATTAACTCAAATTTAATTTTAAATCTCCTTCCCCTTCCTAACACACATACAAAGTACATTAACTTTAATTGATGCAATAAATTTTGTTGTGTGTGTTTTTTTAAAGGGTTTATCTGCAAGAGAAACTATATGAGACACACATTATTTCAATATTTCAAGGAAAATTTAAGAAAAACCTCGTGAAAACTTTTTTATGTTCCTTAGTTTGTGTAACCTTGCCAAGGAGACTGAGCTCGTTTTTTGCACAGGGCAGGCGAAATAAGAACAATTGTGTTAGAATGAATAAATGTCATTTATTTGAAAATGACGAATAACATATATACAAAACAGGGGGTCATTTATAAACATGTAATAATCATAATAATACATGTGGTGATGAACACAATCATGACCCCCTATAATACTACATATGAAAATAGATATTTATACAAATCAACAGATAGGGGGCCACATGACTAGAGATATTATGTATCACATGTACCAAAAATACCTGACATGCCCCCTACTGTAAACACATATGTAAAAAATAGGAACATCAATAAACTGCCTGCCCACAAAAAAGGTGGGTAGGTACAAAACTTAGGCCAAACTTAGGCCCAGTGAGTAAGCACTAAAACAAAACCTGCTATCATAGGGGGTAGAAGGGGTGGAAGGTGGGTACAAATTTCACTGCACCAAATTTGTGTGGCTTCTATCAAAATTCAATGAATGCAGCATGGCAAATTGCTAAATTATGATTGGCTAAAAAGCAAAATTTTCGGGTTAGGTTAAAACTAGGCCACAAGATGTTAACACCCATAAGACAGATTAGGGTAAAATAAGTGAAACTGAATAAACACTGCACATGTCACATAAAAGTTATTATTTACAATAATCACTAATTTAAATCCCTGTGATATTGGAGAATGGAAAATGCATGTCTTAAGACTTGTCTTAAGATTTCTTATACTTAAAATAGTTTTGTGAAACAGCAATGACAAATCTTATGATCGTAAGATCTTAGGACAAATCTTACGATAGTTTTGTAAAACGCGGCCCAGATTATTGTAATCGTGTATGAATCTGAGAAAGCTGAGTAGATCAGGAATCTGCATCATTTTTCCAGGAAAGTCAAATGTACATCACTCATTATTTATTCAAATTCGATATACATTAGGCATGTTAGGGCACATTCTTTTTTCTTTTTTTTTCGGAGGGGGGTGTTAAAACAGCCATATAGAAAAAATACATTTTCGATGCGAGTCCCGATTCCAAAGAGCCTGACTGAAACATTAAAGTGATCCAAGTGTTCCTCATTTCCTACTTATAAATGTCGCAGAAGTATGTTGTTTATTGAAAACCATAATATCAAATGCCATTGCATTATTAACCCAAACGCAAAGGCGATTTATAATTTCTACACTTTGAGATGTTCTGTTGCAACCACTATTGAAATAACGACCACTATTGAAATAATTATATCAATAGTGGTTGAGAGTGGATTTCAATAGCAAACATTGTTAGTAACCACTATTGAAATAACGACCACTATTGAAATAATTATATCAATAGTGGTTAAGAGTACATTTCAATAACAAACATAGATAGTAGAAGTAACCACTATTGAAATACGATCACTGTTGAAATAATTATATGATTATTGGTTGAGATTACATTTCAATAACAAACATAAGTAAAAACCACTACTGAAATACTACCACTATTGAAATAATTATTTCAATAGTGGTCGTATTTCAATAGTGGTTATTATTGCAGCCCGGAGGACCGGGCTGCTCTATACATATAAGTTTAAGTGTTGGTGTATGGGGATTGGGTTGGGAGTAGTTATGTAGAATTAAAGGTTTTCTAAACATTGAAAAGATTGTTAATCAGAATGTTCTTTCCGCTTATAAATTACGAGATACATAATATATTTACTTCCATAAAGTGAATCTGTGAAAATATATATGGTTTTTCATATTTTATACGTAGAGTTGCTTATCATTTACTATCAAAAGAACGACAGGTCCCTTTTTTTAGAATATCGAATTTTACTTCTCGGATAAAAACGTATTCTGCACAGTTCGTGTTTCATATTCTTAAATTGAAGATCAATATATTTTTAAATATAAATGATGCGTGTGTCAAACTTCAATTTATATTTTATGCAGCCAACATTACTTGAAGAATTGATCAAGTTTAAAATGGTATAGTTTTTGATTGATTTTTCTCCGACCACAAGTTTTTTAAAATATTTGCGACTATCGTCTCCATCGATTAGACGCATGCCTTTTTACACATATCGAAGCGGTTTGTTGATCAAGACTCATTTTCCTTGTTTACTTTATATATTTCCCGGGCGACAATTGATGGTTACATCAATATTTTCTTGTCTATGTTTGTTATTGGAATGCACTCTCAACCACTATTGATATTATTATTTCAATAGTGGTTACTTACTTTGTTTTTAATTGAAATGCACTCTCAACCACTATTTCAATAGTGGTTGCAACAGTACTCCCCTTTATTTAAAGTCCGAAGTCTGAAGTCTGTTGTCCACTGCACTCTATTTTGCAAATGCCCAACACTACACGAAAAAAAAAATTGTCTGCCATGTTCTAGTTCATCACTGCTATCCCCTACAACTGCAATATAAGCCGCAGACATTGACAGTTAAGGTTATGTCTCTTTAGCGGTCTGACGAGTAGAAAGACGTACACCGTACATTGCCATAGCCTATGGAATTATCCAATTTTACGTAATTTTCATGCGCCAATAGAAAAATAACATGAAATATACAAATCATTAAAACATTACTGTGATGTCATGCCTTTAATATTCTTGCTGTCTAATAATTTACCCTTAGCCGTCCGATAATGATAATTACCAGTCCGATAATATTTTATCGGATGGCAGTGATAACAAAATCGGACGGCAGTGATAACAAAATCGGACGGTTATTAAAAAACAAAAAGAAGAATGAAATAAAGATTAAACATGCCAAGAGAACAAAAAATGTTAGGAAAAAATTAAGGGAAAGCAATCGCAAGGAAATCAAGTTACTTTCAAATAGCAAATTCTTGAATTTTTTTTAAACCTTCCTATATATTAATGTTTTGATACAGGACTTTGAATAAGCGAATTTAAATCCATTTCTGAAAAAGAATCGGCAAATCTCATAGTTTTATAAGGTTTTCTCCCCGATGGCCGCACATTAAAAGCTTGAGAATTTCCATTATATACTGTAAACTAAAACTTCAGATTAAAAATCGGCATTAAAAGTATTTCTTTTTTCCCCATGATGATGGTACATGTAACAGTATCACCAAAATATATGACTATCAATGTCAATATATGCAAATAACTAATTTAAAAAATTCAAAATTAAAAACAAAACTTCACCAACACTGTCCTGCACAGCTAAACGACTGCCATTGAATGAATAAAATGAAACAAGAGTTCACTCACTGTTTTTTTACTGTGTCATTTCTTTTATCAACTTATTAGACGGATAGAAAACAATGGATGCCTGAAATCCCAGTGTGTTATTATCGGACTCCTACAGGTAACTTTTGGACATTTAAATGCATGGCAATGATTTAAGGAAGATATATGCCTCATACTATTCTATATGTAAATTTATCAGATTGTTTCCGGCCCTAACAGGCCTTAAACAGTCTGATAATTTTACATATATAGCAGTATTCTGCATATACCCATTACATACATTATTAACAAACAGAAAATGTACATATGATAATACAAGGAAAAAATAACTCGAATTCTAAGACCAGGAAAGAAATAATGCACCTCAACCACGAGTTTTAAGTGTGCAAGCTTAAGTAACAAAATTGAAGGGTTTATTTACTTACATCAAGATTTCCTGTGATTTTTCAACGAAGCCACCTTATGCACCCGTGAAATTGATTTGAATGCCATTTTGTGAAGAGACAAAATAGAAAAAAAAATTAACGCTATGCATTTAAAAGAGACATTTGCAGTCAAGAATAGTTCACATAACACGAAAAAATTAGTCTCGTTCAACCAGACACTCGGCTGTCTCCGTAAATCTCCGACCTGCTGGTCGGACATTTACGGAGACAGCCGAGTGTCTGGTTGAACGAGACTAGAAAAAAAATTCTATGTGACTTCTTCTACAGTTTTGACGATTGTGTTTATATTGTATTACATTATAAAAGAAATGAATGGTGTACGGCCATGTTAAGCGATTTTTTGGGAGTTGAACTATGTTCAATCTCCCATGGCCATCACGTATTTAACATGCGCAGTAATTTGTGTTGATTACATAGAGACGAAAGCGAGGCTACTGTGTCAGCTGATTTACTCAGCTGATATTCAACAGAAAACATACATATACATCCGCGACAAATAGTTCATTTTATTTTCTCCTGAATTAATCTAATTTCCATAATGTAAGTAAGTGTAGTGATAAAGTAATCTTATTTTGAATATTAGAATTCGTTCAAAGTACATATGTAAAACTAAATCATAAAGAACCATGAAAGTTGTTCGTAATGGAACTCATTTTTAGTGTAGCGTCATACACTGAAAGAGATACGAACGACAACTCTACATACTGACGGCAAACGTTAAATTTAGTCATATTCAAACTTTTCATGAACATTTTCTTGGTTTAATTGAATTCGTTAATGCATAAAAACTTTAGCATGTTTAGGAAACATGCGTATTTATCACTTTATCAGCAGTATCACCTGCCAAAAGCGGTAAAACCAGTACTCTGTTATAAATATTAAAACCAAAAACGGACACCGACGTTTTCTTAAAATCGCGATTAAAAACAACAAAATGAAGTATATATTTTTAATAAAAGAAAAACCATTAACATACCAGATAATTTGTACGCACACAAACTCTCGCATATACCACTGTTTTTATGTTTTGTCAATAAATATTTGTTTTTAACTTGGTATTGCTCTTTTCTTCAAATATTAAAAAAGTTCTGACGTACTCCATGTATAATTCGTGCAATTGAAATACATTTTTATTCACAGAGAAGTTTTATACAACAAACCTGTTAGCTCTTAAAAGGATGCTGTGTTAAAATCCACATTTATCAATATTGATATTATTCCTGCTAAACTGAACTTTTCATAACACATGGGTAAAGGTGCAAAGGAAAAATATATTACAAATTTGAAGACTGTGAGCAGTGATATAAATGATCAACCGCGTCTAATATGAATATAATATAATTGCAAGTGTGCATGTTTTGCAATGGGAAACCCAAATATGTGTAGGATGAAAAAGTAATAGAAGCACAACGGCAATATGTAATAAAGATTCTATGAAAATTTTGTTCAGTGGTGTTAAAGGAGTTGCGGATAAGAGATGGGTATACCTAAAGTGTAACAAGCAGATGGACAGAAATCACGATTAATAAATTCCCTCCCGCTTTTCAAGCAGGGGGTATAAAAAAGGACTAATGTAGGCAGGCAAGCAGTATGGCCCATGCATTTTTTTCCTATTCAATGTCTCTGAATGTCTTTCTCGATCAAGATTGTTCCAACTCAAAAAATGTGAAACAGTTAATAATGATTAATACATGTAATATTGTTCACTCACTTAACCTCCCGATCAAAGATTTTATTTACACCATGTTCAACTCCCATGAGTGCTTTCAGTACTTTGATCTTTCAAAGCGAACGATTTTACCCTTCAAGAATTGGGTGTAGTTTACTTTCATTCTGGTGAAGTCATACAGTTTGTTAATACCATTTGGGCGGAATGACTTTAATCTGTGATTCCTGATGATACTAAACAAGATTTTTCTCTCAATTTAGTGTATACGCTACAATTAATTTGCGTCACCAACTCTCGAACAACCCACATAACTATGTATTGCTTACGCCTTTGCTATTTATTTTTTCCCGATAATAAGTCCTAAAATATTTCAAAATTTATAATAGATCATAATTCATATGTTAAAACATCCCTGCTATATTATTTTTCTTTTATTATTCCTTACCAAGAATAGTTACGCCATCTTGATAGAATGAAACAATGTACGATTTACTGATTGTCGTAATTAATAAGCATAATTAATTCGTTCAATTATGTAAATCGCACTTCACCCGAGTACACCCGATAGACCGGAAATATTTTATAGCGGTCCGGATTTCTTTCTTTAATAGTGTTCTTAAGAATTTCCAATTCAACATGTAACTAAGTAGGTAAATATATAGTGTTTAGTAGTTTAATAGTAGTGCTAGTTGTTTTTGTTTCTCTTTTTCCTTTGTTCTTATGACTTTTTATCTTTTTTCTTTGTCCTGAGGAAGGGACAGGGCGTCCCGAAAATTTGACAATTTTTATTGTTCGTGTCGTTGGTCATTTTTAGTGCTTTATATATATTATATATATATATATATATATATATATATATATATATATATATATATATATATATATATATATATATATATATATATATATATATATATATATATATATATATATATCAGCTTGAATTAAGAGATACCACTAAGTCTGACACATTTGTTTCATTTGAGATTTTTTCCAAGTAGAGGACGTTAATCATTATCTGGCAGCAAAGCCTTATAATAAAGAATGAGTGCACTTAAGCTATGAGGGTTGGATCCAGATGTTTTGCGCAAAATAAGATTCCAAAATTCATTAAATTCATGTTTTATGGGTATTAAACAATGTCTTAAGAGTAGGTTTTGGTATATTATATTACATGAAAGTATTGAATAATGCCGAACGACACTAGCTTTTGAGACGGGGGTCCAACAGTTTTGTCTCATTTCTATTGTTATTCATATGCATACAAGTTTTCAACGACTTTGTTTACATCGAGCCGCAATTTTGCCATTTTTCTTATTTGCACAGAATATGTATTTTAACTTAAACTTATACATATCCAAAGGACAATGTTGGCCAAGTTGCGGCTCATATCTAATTTTCAAAAAAATGTTCCCAAACTTGGGTCGAGATAGCCACTAAATTAACCGGTCACTGAGCAGCAACGATTGATATTATAATCACCTTTCTCACGTGACCTGCTGTTTGATACGCTAACGCTTTCATTGAAAATTTCATAGTGTTAAAGTCTCTGTTGTGACATTATCTATCGTACTTCCAACTTCAAACTATGGGAGATTTTTGCGCAAATTTTAATAGGGTTTGAGGATAATATATCTCTGATTTATCTTTATGCTTCTCATTAGGGGTGTTTTGAAAGAATTCTGGTATTGACAGTGTCATTAGTAAGTACATGTATAGGCTTATGTCGCCTCTATATTATGGTCTGCACAGCGAGACATTTACCCCTTCCCTTAATATTAGAATCATTTAATAATTGTGCACCTTGAAATCATCAAATCAACACAATCTCTCTCTCTCTTCTCCATTTCAATTCGCAATGCGAAAAAATCATATGTGCTAATGTTTACATTCCACAACCATGCGGTTTAAATGCGGATACCTTAGAATCGAAAGTGGTCCCGTTCAAATTTCCGGAATTTAAGGCTTTTACATGTTCTTTTCAATTACATTTTCTGTAATTATAGAAATATGTATGACAAAAAATCCTAGAAATGAATATCAAAAGCATATGCTTGCACATTAATCATAGATTAAATAAGCGATATATTGTAATGTTAAGCTTAAAATGGGTAGCCGAAAAGGTTCCAAATGACGTACTTAAGTGCACTCATTCTTTGATGCCTTTAACTTTTCCATCTTAAATTTCCCTTACTTATGCAATGATATACATTTATCATATTCAAACGAAATCTATATTTCTCAGTTGATACTATAAGGAAGAGCATGTTCTAGGTATGAACGATTTCTCAAACGAACTAGGTTTTTGACAAACAAGTTGATGAAACAAGAGCATCAGATATGTGTCGTTTAAATTCATTTCTCATAAGTTCTTTGGTCGATAAAATGACCTTGTCAGCAAATACAATTAATCACAAAGTCAAATTCTGACAGTTTTTTTTTTCATACTGATTTTTGGGTATTTATTTATAATTATAATTTGGAAGACCGTGTTTGCTCCGCTCCTAGTTTGTACTGTTTAATGGACTTTGAGCTCTAAAATATTTCATTCTAGGGCTTAAAAAACGTAAATGGGAGTAATGAATATGCATTTCCTTTGTGTATACTAGTAAAGTAAGTATAACTGACTGTTGGTAACGAGCAGTGGTTTTAGTAGGTTTCTCGTATGAAGTAACATTGCTCAAAACACAGCAATTATGTGCTAATATTTTTTATAATAACGTGTGGTCCTTGTATTGATCAGAAAATGGCAGATTAATTCGTCAACGATTTAGTTTGTAAATAATTGTCTAACAATTAATAACAAAAACGTCAGTCAGCATTTGCCTAATGATAGATTTTTTTTGTCGACAAGGCCATTGTATCAACCATATAGGTTTCTTCACATCTGATAAAAACCTATGTCTCTGATGTTAGCATGGATTAAGTGATTAAGTATTCGGTGCATGCACTGAATGTTTTTAATATGACGATGGAAGCGTTTCATCTTAACAATTTCCTGGGATAAATATATGTTTGCGCTGTTCTGCTTTTTTAAAACATCTAGTGGGGAAAGGGTGACATCTGCATGACATTCCTTGCGAATATACTAATATTAAACTGCAGAGGATTAAGTGATGTACATGTAAAAAATCAAGAAATGTCTTTAAGCAAGATAAATACCTTGTAGAAAAAGGTGAAACTTTATATGAAATATTGTTGAAAATTAAGGATTTATTCATTTAAGAGATATCTAACTTAGTGGAAGTAGTTTTCTCTACAAATAACTATTGCTTACTTAAAGTCGCTTAATCCGAAATAGGCACATATTATCTTAAGCAATAGAAGTTCGTCATTACATAGAAAATATATAAAAATAAATTATGAGATTGATTTAATAGCTGATAACAACAATCCTTACAAGGAAAAACTTGATCAAAAACCTTATTGACAAACAGAAGTTCCTGACAGGAAGTTAAGATCTTATGTAAAGTCACCTTTTGAAAAAATAAATTTATCGGTTTTATCTTATTATGAAGTTAATTCAAACCCGAGTATATTTTATTCATAGAAGCCATAATATATCTTTTAAAAATTAAGGAATTAATTGAATATAATCCATTGTAATTTTGATATTAATAATAAAGGAAAATCAGATATTTATTTTAAAGGAAGTTTAGCAACGCAGGATAATATATTGTCCGTGTACAGGTATAAGTATACTTTTTGTGAAAAAAAATGCTCGGGTTTGTTCTTCATGGGATATACATGTAAGCGATAATTTTAGATGGTGGTTTCACGCGATATCAACAGAGGATTATTTATTGTGTGACCTAACAAAAATTATTTTTTTAACTTTTGAATTTTGATATCTTTTAAAGAAAAAAGACTTTAGGGATATAATTTGACAAAAGTTGAAACAATTTATGGACAATTATTTTTCAAGAAGAAAAACGAATATATTTTTTTTTTGCGATTAGAATCGGACCAAGCGGCTTTAAAGAACTGTGTTAACTTTCATATCATAGATGTCACGATTGGTAAACGTCACTTTTTATTAATCATATACATGAACCAAACTTTGATACAACTGCTTTCAGTAAATACTTTTTGGATTATACATTGTAGGTAATGATTCAAATTTAGTTTTTTTTTTAAATGGAAATACAAATAAAACTATATATTACGACCGGGATTCTTGAAGATTTTGGATACTCTTTTCAAAGAGATTTTTTTTGAAAAAAAAACTTTTGAAAATTACTTGAAAAGGTAAATTTCCACATCAAAATGGACTTGATATCTTTCTTATATCAAAATCACTTCTCATGTTAAGTTAAACAATATTTTCAAGATTATTGTACAGTTGTTAAAGGGGTTAAAGCAAAAAGATTTTGTAGAGGGAGTTAATTTAAGAAATTAATCATATATAAGAAATAAGATAAGAAATATGTAAACCTTATGACAGAAAAAACCAAATATACATATACAGAAGTGATGACATTAAATGATAATGTTGGTAATCTTATTAATTAACCTATTTGTCAATTACTTATCTCGTTTTAGAGAATGCACTTACACAGAGCATGCTTTTGCATATTAAATCAAGCTAGAAAAAATCAAATACATAGGTGAAATGGGTATGTTGCTGTACAATTTAGAGAAGATGACGACTGAAATAGTAAAGTTATCATAAAAGTTTATTGTTAGATAACCGTCATCTTCTTTTACCTGATGAAATATCAAAATATGAAACAGATATATCAGTCTTTATAGTATACTTTATGTAATACTCACTGACATGTAATTTTTTCAACATATGAATGGAAATAATTATTGTTAATTTATAGTTCACCGTTGTCGATTTATTTTCATGTCTCGTTGGTAGCCACAGTGAGTGTCTTTTTCTTTTCATATAGAGGTTTATAAACTGATAAATACTAAGTGCACTCTGATAAACTGAAATATAAAGCAGGTTGGTAAACGAAAAAAAAAACAGAATTATTGTTCATCAGATTTTCAACTATTTGTTAAAAGTTGGTCTCGCAGACTGTAATGTTGTCAATCGGATACTTAAGCATTTAAAAATGTTCTACTTACTGCTTGAGGATCCAATTCTGCTTTACACTTTCTTGAATATGCTGTAGCGCAGTACGTTTAAATTTTTTTTTAATTGAAAGCTGTTTACAATTTTGTAAGGGAGTATAGATAGGGGTTTGGAAGAGGTTTTGCTGGATCTAACAATGTTTATAATAACAACAAAAAAGTAAATTTTATTCATTTATTGTACACAGACACGATTATTAAATGATAATCAAAGGAGAATTACTTTGCTTTTACATCATTGAAACCCAATATATCTAACTTTATTAGAATTGCAAAGTTTGCCAAATACTTTAATTAAAATTGTACATTTTAACATGCAGTTTTAAGCGTGAGTCAATAAATTTTTTTTTTGTCAAAGACGTAGAAGTACAGAATTATGTAAAAATATTAACACTTTTACAGTGCATTTGTATATAGTACATGGAAAATAATGAATTTCTGACATTTATTGCAATATTTTGGAGCATTTTTGAGAATATAAATATAAATGTCAAAAAATAAGTTTATTTTTGAAAAGATAAGAGTAGCTGTATACTGTATAGGGAATTAATTTCACGGGTTGTAATTTTCACGTTTTTTCTCTCTCATTTGACACGATCGCGGTTTCTTTAATTCGCGGAATTGGTGTATAATAAAGTTACCCCCCTTGTCTATATATCTGTTTAATCCATACCATATAGCTACATGTATACGACATTAATCAGCGTTATGTCTTTATTTCGCGAACTACAGGGAAGGTTAATATAAAATAGTAAGGTTTAATAAATAATTGACGATTACCGGTAATTAAAACAAGTGCAGTTATCAAAAGTCCTTGACTAAAAACGTCAAATGACATTCATATGTATCCTACAACTATGTGTGCATCTACACCCCAAGATCTTAATTACAACGCAGCGAAAAACCACTTGACCGTACAACAAGTACTACTCGTAGTTTCTGGAATGACCATGTAGTGCACGTACATATGTTTAAACCAATCGTAGTCTCAAATTTCCACATAAAACATGGAGATTATTGAATAATTATTCCCTGTTTCTTGAATTGACGGATTCATTTACACCATGAATATAGCGAATATTAACACCACGAGTTATTTCCCCCTATACAATATTTCTTTATAATGTTGTCATAAAAGAAATTGAGATTCGATCATAAAAAAGCATTATTATAAAACAAATAGAGATTCGATAAAAAAGCAGTCACAAAATGAGTAACATACCGGTAGCTTTCATAAGCGCGACGTCAATAATAGTTCTTTGTGACGTCCCTCTTTGCTACTCTGGATATTTCGCAGTTTTTGCGCTTTAAAAAATTGGAAATATTTTAAAACTGCCTTTCCCACAGATACTAAAGTGTTCGATGCACTGCGTTTTTCTTATATAAGGGTCACGAATTGGTTGTTTGTGTACTCGTACACGTGTTCAGTTTGCTGGTGAAAATGATGAAAATTTTGATCTTGTAAGGATTTTCTTTAAATTGAGTGTCTGTCTCCTGCTATTAATTATTTGTGGCTCCTTTATAAGATCATTATAAGAGAAAAAGGGATATATCATTTTTCATTATCATACTTTTGGTGAGTGTTCCTTAGAAGGAAAGTTTTTTGTTTTCTAAATTCCAGCATTTATAAGGTTCTCCGGATAAATATGTGTTTATAGATATGATTTAAATACCTTTAATCTTTACGACCGTAAATTCACATCAGTCACTATTGTACATATGCGCCATGCCCTGTTGTAAGGAATACCGGGGTATTTCGTTAAGTATGCAGCGGGTGACATGAACGTCAAAAAGCATTCCTACTTCTCGATTAAGAAACACTCGATTTGCTGTTTTTTTTTCACATATCCTTGCAATGATTTTCGAATAATTCGATCATCTGATCGTCCTTTGTATCTCGTGCAGTTTGCATCAGATCGATGCCTGGAATGTTTAACAAGGCTTTATAATTATTCAATATGTGCTCACACAAACTATTTTTTTTATTCTTGCAAGCAAGCTGCAAAACAGAACTCCCGTTTTTTGTTTTTTTCATAACATCTGCTTGGTGGAAAACCAAAAGATTGAATATTTTTATTCCTTCGTCTTCTGATTTTTCAGAGTTTTGTGGACCAGCCGCAAGCATATGCAATGCATTCCATCCCCTTGCTGTGGTAGCATGCACCATTTCAGGGTAAAGATTCACTATGCGGTTGCATACTTCATAATTTGAATATTTACTCGCAATATGAAGTATCGTGTGACTGTCATACGCATGGTGATTTTCATTGGAGCCTTTTTCTTTCAATAAATCTAGAATTTCAACATCTCCAGCAGCTGCTGCTGAAAAGCTCGGTATCCACTCTTTTTTGTTTTTGAAATTTATTAAAGGTGGATATGTTGTGACTAAAAATGAACACATTTCTAGTTTCCTTTTTTGACATGCAATATGGAGAACACTGTCATTTACGATAGTTTTATCGAAAACATTCAAGTTATGTTTACTCAAAAGTTTGAAAATTTCAGTATTTCCGGTTGCAGCAGCAAAGTGAAGGGGGTTCCACTTTTCTTCATCTAGAGTATTAAGAAGCTCTGGATATGTCTCTACAATAAATTCGCACATTTCCTCTCTGTTATTTGATACAGCTATGTGCAAAATATTTCTTTCACTCTTTGTTGTTTTTTTCACATTCACGTCTTTGCTAATAAAGTATTTTAGAATTTCAACATCACCCCCTTCAGCCGCAAAATGTACTACGTTTCCACCTCTTTTGTCATCAAATTCCATGATATTAGGTTGACTGGATACTATGAACTCGCACACCTGCAAATGTTTCCTCAACGCTGCTATGTGTAAACAGGTTCTTCCACTGTAAGTTGTTGTATCAAGTTTGAATCCCTTTAGAAGTAACTTTTTAAGAATATCGATATTCCCACCTTCACATGCAAAATGTATCAAATTAAAACCATCTCTATCCATCCGCATCAAATGTTTGTCTTGGTAATTACTTAAGAACATTTTAAGTTCATATTCAAATTGTTTTAAATTCCCATTAGAACATGCGCTGCGGATGGAATCGAAACCTTTGTCCCTTTCAATACCAAACTCCCTTGTTTTTTCCTCCTTGTATGGCAATGTTGGACTAGTAAATGACTTGCTGAATGAACCTATGTGAAAAAAAGATACGCATTCAGAGTTGAATTATCGACAAAATGGGATAACTAACAAATTTTACGCGCGATTGTGTATTATTCAGCTATCTAGGCAAGTCGAAAAACTTGCTTTCGATGCCGTTGGAATTCTCAAAGCGCAGCCCTACACTACACAGTCATTGAGAATATGAGTGAGCTAGTTATTATTTGGACATTAGAGAGGTTTAGCAAGCTCACTTGTACGTGTACATATACGTTTAAACAACAAGTAAGAATTACGCATACACGTTAAAATGTTTTTTTCTTGTTTAGCAAAGTATAACCTGTACTTGTACTTGTAAGTTTTTAAATGTAAAAGTGGTTAACATTTAAAAATCATCCGAAAAAGCAATGATTTTAGTACGTATATCACCGTCTAACATAAATTTATGCATGTACTTATGAGAAAAAGATTGTACAGATTTCTTATATTTTAAATCGGTCAAAGCCTGCTTCGAAAATCTAGATGTTGTAATTTTACATGTAACTCCTATAAATTAATATAATAATAATTTATAATTAATAACTGAACGTCAGTAATTTTATCAGTATTTGCATTAAATATTCAGGATTTAGAAAACGCACACTATTTAAAAAATAAACAGCAGTTAAAGAATTATAAGCTACAAGTTTTGACTTACGTGTACTTGGCAATCTACACGTAACCTGCGTAAGAAGATACGTGTAGAAATCCGTCATTAGCAAAAGTGATGACGTAATGCACAGATTTCTGGTGCTACACGTACACGTTAATTTGTTAAACCTCTCAATTAGTTTCATTAGAGGATCATTACCAATAGAAGTTGCAATGAAATAATTTAATTTTAATTTCTTTATAATATTGCTTCACTTTGGGGCTCGTTCACGGTAGCTCAGTCGGTAGAGCGCTCGCTCCGTGATCGGGAGGTCCTGAGTTCGTAACTCGGCCGCGACTGACCTAGTCGTTAAAATGGGTAGCAATTGCTACCTCGCCAGCCATGCGCTCTGCACTTTGATTGATTGATTGTATACTGTTTAAAGTCCCTCTCTAGAATATTTCACTGATATGGAGACGTCACCATTGCCGGTGAAGGGCTGCAAATTTAGGCCTACGCTCGGTACTTACGGCCTTTGAGCAGGGAGGGATCTTTATCGTGCCATTTGAAGTGAAAGTTGCGGGTCCTTCGGATAAGACCTTCGAAAAACCGAGGCCCCGTGTCAGCGGCAGGCGTTGGCACGATAAAGATCCCTCACTGCTCAATGGCCCAAAGTGCCGAGTAAAGGTCAAAATTTGAAGCCCTTCACCGGCATACGGTGAGGTCTTCATATAAGTGAAAAATTCTTGAGAGAGACGTTTAACAAAATACAATCAATCAATCACTTAGGGGCAGTTATGTTAGTTTAAGAGTTGTTTGAAATATTGCTTTATAATAAAATTACATTCATTACAACGTAACCAAGTAGATGATGGCACGAAAAAGATCAATCAGTGTTTAGTGACCGATAATGCCGAGTAAAGGTCAAACTTTACAGCCCTCCACTCCATATGAGTGAAAATTTCTCGAGAGGGGCGTTTTAAAAACAAACAAATAATTGATCATTAGTGTCTCGTCCTTAATCCGGAAATACCTACCAATTTATTTTGAAATTTTTAAACTTTGGAACAGACAAGATCGTTTATAACAACTATGCACTGAAATATCTGCTCAAAATACGAAATAGAAGTAATTTTGTCAAGCTCTACTCAAAACCAGGTTTTCAACTGGTACCATTAATGTTGTAATATTTGAAGAAAGCTTTCATTCTGTTTTCAATTACATTATCAATCTGTTACTTTATATCCAGAAGTAAATGAAAAGATTTTCGAATTTATTCTTTTACTTATAGCCAAAAGATAACGATGTGATCTTAACAATTTTTCAAAAATGTTAAAAATCATGAATAGTTGCTGTAACATAAATTTTGTCTTATTTCTTTCACCGGTTCAAATGATGATTATAATACCGTGTATTCAAAATTTTTATCTGACAGGTGCTACAAGATGCAGAAACATATCAGAAGGATAGAGATAACGAACAGTATTCAATAGCAAATCCATAAAACAATACAAAATAGGAGCAAAGCAAACATTAGACAGAAACAAATGATATTAAAAAAAAATAAAAATAATAAAATGAATAATCAATTAATTATAAAATAATAAAAATAAAATAATAAATAAATATTTTTAAAAAGTAATCATAGATGTAAATTGAGGGGGGAAATCTGTCTGTATTTACGTAATTCATCTAGACTTGAGGTTATTTTTAAGACAAGAGGCCAAGGGGCCACATCGCTCAGCTGAGCACTGTTCCTTGGAAAAAAGCAGACATCAGTTAATTATTGAAAAGTTTAAACCCAATAGTGCAGGTCCCAACTAATCCTTAAAGGGGAGAGGGTATGATATGAACAAACTTGAATCTCGAAAACTAAGGATTCTTGAATATTTTTTTGACTACCTGTGGCATTTATTGCCCTTTACATCTGAACTTACACTGCCCCCCCTCCCCCTACCGTCGGGGGTCATGACTTGAAAAAATTTGAATCTACACAACCTGAGAATGTTTCCATATGAATATGACTAATCATGGCTTTGCCATTCTTGGAAAGAAGATTTTTAAAGAATTTCTCTACATATTTTTGAGTAAAATTTGAATTCCATGTTGTGGCCCCGCCCTACGCCCCTTCGGCCTTTAGCTCAGGTGAGCTAAAAAGATTAAAGATGGATGAATTAGTTGATTGAATATACATGCATATGTTTATCTTCTTTTGGAAATTTAAGAACTTACTCCCAACACTGCTCTCTGAGGAATCCCCATGAACTCTTTCCTGAAATAGAGCAAAAAATATTTTTTAATGCTTTTAACATTTAATCAGTTATTTTATGCTGTATAAAGAAAACATAATTTTAAATAAAAATCGAATCTAAACTCCAGATATCAAGTATAAAATTGGTGATATCGCAGTGAAGACATAATTGACAGCGTTTTTTTTTTGCGATGGAAAACCTTTAACATAAAAATACAGGTGCACACTGGCACTTTGTAGAATTTTTTCTCTATAAGTCTTAAAAATTAGAATGCAGTGAAATTGAAGGAACTGTGGATAAATAGGGGCTAATCCCAAGAACTTACTAACGGAGAACCGTTTTACAAACATTTTGACCCCCAAGAGAGGTAATGGAAGCTTTTTGACAATTTCTTTAATTTTAAGGTCATTGCTGCCATAAACACATATAGAAACATATAAAAGCATCTGTCAAATTTAGAGACTACACTGGTAAAAGAATTATCACTTTTAATTATGAACCCTTGTAAATAAAATGTAACTAACTTATAAGGTTATTAATTTTAAATTAAAAAACATACCCTATTCCAATAAAAATAAATGTCCTTAACATTGACAATATGCTCTTGAGTTATTGGACAATCGTGACAAACTGGACGACTGTCATCGATGAGGTTCTTCAGTTTGTCCTCTTTCAGAAAACTGGATTCGTTGCAGCTATCTAGGTAATTTGATCTCTTGCATCTATATCCGAGTGAAAAGTGAAGAGGAGTGTGAAATGTTTTTGCAATTGCATGAAGTTCTCCAGTGATCTTCGTTTTGATTTGAATTTTTGAGTGCATGCTAGATTGGTCAACATCTTTCTCCAGCATTTGAACTTCAATGCAATTATCAAACGTTGTGTAAAGTGCTAAAACTGTTTTATCATAGGTCAGCAAACAGCATGTCCGATATATGCATTTCCGATTATCTTTCTCATGTCTGACCCCCCAGCCTGGTGAACACATGCAAGCAACTGCCAATTTCAGAAAAACAAAATGTGGGAGAGAATCAAGTTTAAAGCATAAAATCGGTGATTTTCTATAGCATTCGAAGATCTCTCTTCCGGGTGTTCTTCTGCTCATACATGGAACGATATGACAAACGTTGTTATTTGTTGGATTGGCTTTAACAATCATACCGAGCTGTTGCATGTAATTAAGGAGGTCATCCTTGTGCTCCGAGAAAGACTCGTCTTTCATCCAAATTTCCTCTAGCAGATCGTCGTGCAATTCGCCTGTTTCGTGCAAATCATTTATATTCTTTGCAAACTTTGTTGATGTTCTCGCCGTTATCACGTGTTTGAAAGCATCAACGAACCACTGAATATCGAGTATAACTGTTTCACGTAAGCCATCCATATCAAAATATACAACGATTCCAATTTCATGAAAATATCTCAACATATCTTTTAGTTGTGATTCGCTAAACTGAAGCCTTTCATGAATTTGTTCGTTAAACATGCACAACTGTGACATAGAGATCATTTTTGCTTTTCTCTTCTGCTGCTGAATTTCTTTTTCAAAAATGACCCAAGAAGATGGCAATTCAATTCCCCAATGTAAAACATTTTTTTCTGAGAAAACAAGGTCAACAATCGCCTTTTGAATCTCCTCAACTGATTCAAGTGAAACGTTCTCTTTGGGAAAACCTACACAAAATATTCTGTCTTCACGCACATGCGAACTATGTTTAAGTTCCTTCAAGAAGAACCTCTTGACCCCTTCAAAAACGCCTTGTATTTTCTGTTAAGAGAAAGAAAAGAAGATACTAAATGACTTAAATAACTTCGATATAGAAAGAAACATAACCTCACTCTCTGTTTATACCTCTTCCGGCAATTTGTCCTTATGCGTTGCGACAAGTATAACAGGTGCATGTGGGCCGCTGTATAAATGTATAGACTTCATCCAAAATGAATAGTAATCTTAAAAACAAAAAAGAACATAATACGTAAAAGCAATGAATGACCTATCAAAATACACTTTATTATCAAAGAATGTACTAGTATGTATATTAGTAGCAATTCATATACAAGATTTGAAAAACAGCTAGCTTTTAAGTAAAAAAAAAACACCAACCCCTATATTCCCATCCCTCAAATATTGTGTCCTTTTGATCGCATGTTTCTTCATCAGCGGTTTTGTCTATTTGTTTTGACATGTCAACCACAAAAATATAGAAAGCCATGGGACTAAGATAAATTTGATGAGAAGCATAGTAGGCACATTGCCCAGCAAAGTCTAATAGAGTTATGAGATTCAAGGTAGGCTCCCCATGAAAAGAAACGCTTGACATGCTTGGAAACAATGATTTGATCGTACAACTTTTAGTTTTCTGGGGTGTATCTTTATTCCGAGTCTCTTCTTCTTTACAAAGGTCTTCCGTAATCGTCTCATTTTGATCCTCTCTTTGTTGGACATCGTCGTAATTAATATCAAATGAAATCCTCTTTTTTTCGGTAACGCCTTTATCCTGAAAGTCGTCACTCTCATTTATGTCCTTGATTGAAGACACGGGATAAACCCTTTGAAATGAGTTTTCCACATCTCTATTTTCAGTTTCGATTGAATCTAATCGAAATGGGCTTTTTTCAGTTGAATTTGTGGATATGTCTATTGTCTTCATTTCAACTTTTCCAGAAGGGATGTTGAAAGATGATAAATATTTCTCCTCATTGTCTGTAAAATTAACGAATTCTGTTAAAGTAAGGAAAAAATTAACAAGTTTCATAATAGTGATGAGAAAGTGTACAATTTATTATATATAAAGGAAACTAAAAATTTAATTTCCATTTCTTTTAAAATTATCATGTCATCTTCTGAAACAAATAGGGAGAAAAGTATATCTTCAAAATGCAAAAGTTTCCGTTTATTCAAGGTAAAAGTCCAGATAATAATAGTGTCTTCATTAAAATCATAGTGAAAATCATTGTAAAAAAAACCTTCTATATACGTCAAATGATAAAGAATGATAAATTTGGCTAGGATCTCTACCCTGAACCGATCAAATGTGCCACCCCATGCATCATCTTTTATTTAAATGTAACACAAATTCCTTTCCAGGTTGCTCTCAAGTTCATGACTTTTTGAAACTTATGACGATATCCCCCCCCCCCCAATGAACATTGAAAATGGTCATTATAATCAATATTTCAGTTCTGAGTTCTTCAGAGTCTTTGTCTTCAAAAAAGGAATTATTAAACCCTTTCAATTAGGCAGTACTAAGTTGAATGTTATCAACTTGGGAATTTCGAATCTTATCATCCTCAGATGCTATATGAAAGAAAAAGATGGAATTAACGATGACCAGTCGGGTGCATAAATGTGATTGTTTGGTAGAAAATTTTGACTTACCCTGGCTAGAAGTGGATAAAGGGTAAACATGCAAAAAAAAAAATTAGGAGAATGATGCATGCATGCGCCAGTAAGAGGAAAACTAACTCAAAGTTGACCATTCTAAAATCCCAAACCGCACAATCTGCTTATTTCAGTTTTAAGGAGATTTTGATAATGAAAGCCTACTGTATTGATAGCAGTTTTTGTGGTAGGAGGCAGGCGACAGAATAAAAAACACGATCTTAACGTCGCATTTTGCATACGTGACGTCGTACCTTTACGTTTGAGTAGTTCTGTAATATGTTTTGGTTCATATTACCCGCGGTCCCATATTTGTGAGATATCACCATTGACTTACTGGTCAATTTTTTTTCAGAAAGATGCAAATAATTTGTCATAGAATTATACATTAAGGTATAAGGTCTTTACTCCATGTTTTTGTTTATCAGGAAAATAATGTATCTTTTTCTGCAAATTTTAAACTTTCGAAAAATTCATATAGGAAAATTTTGACCTTCTTTTTGTCCCCTAAATCAAATTATTTCTGTTTTTGAGTTTAGTTAATTGTAGAGATTTTACATAGAGTATACTCTTATATAAGGTGAAATGTAAAATAAAAATATGATAGAATCGAAATTTCTTTTTTTTTCACGTTTGTCGCACCCTAAGCATTTCGTCCGCCTTGTTCATCCATCTTTTTTAAAAGTTCTGATAAATGAGATATACATGTTATGGAACTGCAAAAGAAGACTGACGACAGTATTCGCAAAAAATTGGAATTACAAGATATACCTGTTGGCTCTTTTAAATATATGGATGCATGGGACAGATTTTTGTTGGGGACTATTGAATGCACATTTTTACATTTTTATCTATCTATCAATCTATTCTGCCTATCTATCTATTAACATACACTGCAGTCGGTGGTTTTCAATTTTGAATACATCCTCATGAACATCTAGGCCTTCTGTAGGTAATATATGCTGAATTTCATGCATTGTTTGATTTTTCAATCGTCCTAAAAGAGTCGTTTTTCCAGCTCCTGCACAACCTATAATCATTCCTCGTGTGTGATAAACCGGTTCCTTGCCTTCCTTTAAGTACGCAATGAATCTTTTTATTCCATCTTTTCCCCATCCCAAAATTTCTATAGGCAGATTATCTGAAATTCAACAATATTTTCCAAGATAACATAAAAGTGTATGTCATTATAAACTTTATTCAGATAATCCTAAGAAATAATGCTTTTAAGAAATTAAATCTCGTGAAAAATATGTTCATTTTTCAGACATGCTTATATTTTTCAGACCTATCAACTAAAACATTAAACATTACATATATGCATGTATAATTTTTCTCTTACTTACATCTTTCAGCAATTTTCTTATGAATGGACTTGTCCTCGATTGTTATGTGCTCTAAAACACTTTCTCCGAGAACATCTAAAAACTTGTCTATGTACTGGATCGGCAAACAAAAGCATTTTTCACCTGGATGTTTCTCGTATTCGGTAGATCTGTAAAACTTGGAAATCAACATTGCGTTTGGATTTTCAAAATTAAAGTCATATGCCTGATTAATGTCTTGGAATGCTTGACGATGAAAAAACCAGCAGAGTTCATCCAGTACATCAGAAGAAATCAATTTGTAGTCACTTTGTACTTTAGTAAGAAGGTCTAAAACAGTTGTATTTTTTAATGGCTTCCTCAAGTTTTTTTTACTGGCTTCCTCAAGTTTAAGTTCTTTTCTTATCTTTTTCAGCAGATCAATCCATTTTTCATCATACACATTTACGATATTATTGTCCATAAATATAAACGAATAAAGAAATGAACGCTGTTCAGGGTGTAAAGATAATACTTCTCCTGAAAATAGAAAAAATTAATCCACATAATGAACATTGAAGGCGCATTTGCTGCATAATCTCTCTCTCACGGCATTTTTTCTTTCGGTGTTCTGAAGCCATTTTACAATCTAATTGTTTAAGAATGTAAAGAAAACTAGACAGATTTTTCTAAGAGAAGGCTAAGAGAGATTAACTACTTAGTTCAAGATTCCTTCATTTTTGTCTCAAATTTAAGACTTGTACAAATGTATATTTTCATCCACCATTCAATTCGTTTTCCAACATGTTTGAAAATGAAGATAATACAGATTGATATATCAAGAATCTTACCTCTTCTTTGGGTACTCCACATTTGGCTTTCCTTTTCACTATCTTTTAATCGGTATTTCTTTACTTTTTCTCTATTTAAGGACTCTAAAACTTCTCGTGAAAAAAATTAAATTAATCTATTTAAGAACATAGCTCACTCTTATTAGACATAGGAATCATTGATCTAAAGATCAAGATCTAGTACATGTAAATGCCATTAGACTACCTTCTTGATGCTACCGGCAGATCCATTATGACGTCATAATCATGTTCAACTCTTTTCCTCGTACTTTACGGCTCTAATAGAGTTATGAGGTAAATAAAGTATTTTCATGGAATTCAATTTGATATCAATCAAAAATTAGTACCGATACCTATATTAAGTTTACATTATTATCAATAAGAAGAGGCCAAGACATACAAATTACTGTTTTCTTAAAGACTATGGGCAAATTGAATACATGTTCTTTGTCGGATAAGGAAAATATCCCAATTTCATGACTAATTTTCTTAATTTTTCCTTTGAAATGACAGTTTAAAATATTATTTTTCATCTTGTTTACCAACAAAATATGCCCTGAAACACCTTTCCTGACAAAGCTAAAGTGATAAAAGATTTAAGGAATTAATTTCTTAAACCTGATAAATCTGTAGGCATTTTTCATTTACTAGATCTTGACCATAAATATCATTAGTTAATAAAAATTAACATGTTTTTCTAAAAAACTTTTTTACCAGCCGTATCAGGGTTCGATATGAAGGGTTGTGCTTCGTCAAGTTTCCCTACATGAATATAAATATGAAAAAACGTTTAACACTCTCTCTACTTACGTAAAACAAATGTTTAACAAAAACTTTATATTATACGAGTCACTAACCAATGAAATTTTATCTTATTACTTCCTTAATAAATTACATACAGTTGAAAGAAATTTTCAGCATTGAGTATAGAGTATTCAATAAAATTGCTTCAGGGTATCATTGTATTGCATTGAATACACTATATAAAGCAATCTACAGGCTTAAATGTTTCAAGATTAAAATATTCATTTGCAAGGGGCATCCACCATATTTTTTGGACATTTTACTTAAACACTCACTTTTGATTCATTATCTCTATAGCCAGTGTTACATGTAGTGTGCGTCCCCTAAAACTGCCAAAGTTAAATTAAAAATCATAGTTTCGTCGAAAAATTGTATAAACCCTAGTCGGTAACTTCATTTTTACCCTGCAAAATCTCTAGAATGAAGTTCAAGGCAGCCCAAGACCCCCTGCCCACTTTTTGCACCCCTTTCAATTCCCCCTTTAATAAGTGTAGACAAAATAGAATACAGTTGTAAAATATTACCATAAACTTTTTTTTTATAACATTGAACAGTGCAGATCAGCAAGACGGACACAGGAATAAGGAACAGAATGGAAAAGCCAAACTGCAGTAATTTGCTCATCAAGACGGAGTCTTCAGATCTAGAAGATGTTCTAGTGGTATTTCCATTTGAAGTCTTCGTATATTCTGTGGTAAAAGTTGTGATAGATGCATCTTCAGATCTATAACAAATTTATAAAATTTATTATCAAACTGATCAATATTTATAGTAGGATATCATTTTTGATATATTGTTTAAACCGAATGAAAAAGTGAGTGCAAATGTAGAATTTCTGAGTAAGTTTTATTCTTACTCAGTTTTTAAACTCTGTAAAATTAGAGAACTACTAGTATATGAGAGAAAGAATAAATAAACATTTTAACAATCTGTTTAATCTTCCATAAGATAATTAAACACGAGGTTTAAACAATTTTATGCCAATTGTGTTATCGCCAAAAGTAAATTTTAATTTGCTAATTTTTAGAAAAGAATTGCTACAACAAATTATATTTCTCCAATTTGTAAAAGTTTCCTTCTGATATCACATTCCATGTTTCAAAGGAGATGTGTCATGGTGCTCTTAGCATATTTCTTTCCAAAGATTTTTGAGAATAAGGAATTTGTATTGTGATTTCACATCTTAAATTAAAGGAAATACCCAGAAACTCCTATGCCTTTAAAACAATTAAGCTCGCATAAACAAAAAGAAAAATCTTTACAATTGTTATCAATGAGAGTGAGGAGACAGAAAGGAAAGTTTTAATATTCCATAAACTACACAGTGCATATGTTCAGAGAATTCAATAAAGAACATGAGGGTTCAAGTAATTGCAGCCCGTAGGGCCGGGCTGCTCTATACATATAAGTTTAAAGCCATATATGGCGTATGTACAATGAAAATTATTAGACTAAAATTATAAGAACTTATTACTTGTATCATTACTTCATATAAAGATAGAACTTTTCCGTAAATTACAAAATCTAAGTCAATTGCGTTATAAAGATATCATAATTTAATTTGGATTCTCGGAATTTTCTCCGACTCGGAAGAAAATACAAAAGATTTAAATAACACATTACAGAGAAGATAAAATAGTATTATTAGATGAAATGAGGTGTTCTCCGTGTTCAGAATTGTATAAAAAGCATTAATTTAAATGTACTAAGTATATTTCTTTACTTAATTTTGTATTTTTCAAAAATATATTTTTTGATCAGTTACGCCATATATGGCTTTAAGTGGTGGTGTATGGGGATTGAGCTGGGAGAAGTAATTCAGAATTAAAGGTTTTCTAAACATTGAAAAAATTGATAATCACAATGTTTTTTCCTTTTATAAATAACGAGATACTTAATATATTTACTTTCATAATGTGAATCTGTAAAAATATACATGTACCGCCGGTATATGTTTTTCACATTTATATAAAGTTGCTTATCATTTACTATCGAAAAAACGACAGGTCCCTTTTTAAAGAACATCGAATTTTACATGTCGCATAAAAACGTACTCTACACAGTTCGTGTTTCACATTCTCAAAGTGAAATACACATTTTTTAATATCTAGGTGATGCATGTGTCTGGTCTCAATTTATATTTCTGCAGCCAACATTTACTTGAGGAATTAATAAAGTTTGAAAGGGTATCATTCTTGTTCGATTTTCATCCGACTATAAGTTTTTAAAATATTGTCGACTATCGTCTCCATCATTAAGACGCATGCACTTTTCACACATATCGAAGCGGTTTAATGATCAATTAAGAATCATTTCTATTGTTTACTTTATTTATTTTCTGGGCGACAATTGATGGATACATCAATGTTTTCTTGTTTGCGAATATTTGCGAGAAACTCTGGCCTTTACAGTTGATGGCTTATGTTTTCTTAAGTACAGTGTATTAAAGTCATGTAGATATCTAACATTCCTATTAAGGACACATGCTACAAGCCAAAAATGGATGCCGGAACAGAAGAAGTTGCCTTCCATTATGTTTGGAAATCTTAAAACAATTCAAAAAATGTACATAAATAAAGAGGTATAACACTTCATATGTTGATAAGTCGATAAAATATAAGACAATATACAAAGTTATAACACAATAAATGTAGAGCCATTTACGCTTCCGTACAGGACTAGAATACTTTTGACCTATTACGGTTGCAAATGATGTGACTGATGGATTTCTAAAATATGAGAATTTTGTAAACTATATTTTATGTTCAATATTCAACCTTTCTGTAACCACCTTTATTAATACAATGTATCTACATTTTTTATAGTCATCCATTGTACAGGGTGAATAAAAAAAATCAGTATAATTTCTGAAATAAAAGTTTTATATGGCGAATCTAAGCAGGGGCAAAATTATTTGCAACATTGAAATGGCGAAAATAAAGCGGGGCGAAAATAACCCTGTATACAGTAGATGGACGTTGATCAAAACTTATTTTTTTCTAACTTAGATAAAAAAGGATACATGCTTTTCTACAGAACAGTTTCGATCAGCGATGAAACATCTTCTCTGTGTATTAATTTCAAGGCAACTGGGAACTGTAGACAAAAAGAAAATAAATTTTATTAGCGATTTTAAAAATCTCTCTATCACTATTTCTAAATATTTAAAATATGGATGACAACTTGTAATCCGTCCAAAATGATGGAATTCGACGTAAATGGTTACTCGGGGAAAATAATATGTAATGAACCGGTATACGAAGTCAATATTAAAGTCAATTTTCAATGTGTTGCAATTGATCATGAGATCAAAAAAGCACATGAAACAAATTACTAAAATATTAAAAAATGTCCACGAGGATAACTTTGAAAACTTCTGAACTCAATTCTTAACGGAGAAACATATTTCCAGTTTATTATTGAAATATGAGAAATGAACCTCAGGTCCGTTTTAAACCCGGGTCAATTTACTGAATTACATTTGAACAATCATTACCTTTTTTGTTTTGGGGGAACACAAAGCAAAAAGTTATTGAGTAGTAAATTAAAAACAAGAGGCCAACGAAAAAGATCTCTCACCTGAGCATTGTGTCTAGAAAAAAACCCCAGAAACTGAAGCATTGAAAAGTTTAAATCTATAAGACGTCTTGAGGAGGGGGGGGGGGGGGCGCTATAATTTGAACAAACTTTAATACTAGAATCTACGCTAACTTAAGATGCTTGCATATTAATTTTAACTATCTGTGGCATTTTTACTCTTTAAGTTTAAACTTATATTGTGGTCCCACTCTACTCCCTCCCTCCTCCTCCTACCCCCCCCCCCTTCCGCCATAACTTAAACAAATCTATATCTTGATTTGATGAAGCTTCTATATAAATATTACTAATCATAGCTTTACTGTGTTTAAGATGATTAAAAAAAGATTTTCCTATATATTTCTAAATAAAACTTTGCTCATCCATAGTGACCCCATCCTACCCCCGGGGTCATGATTTGAACAAATGTGAATGTACAGGATGTTTCTCCAAAATTTCATATTTCCTTGCACAGTGGTCCTAGAGAAGGTTTTATAACATGACACCAAATTTCAATATTTCCTGAAATATCTCCAATTGAATGAAGGCGTGGTCCTTCATTTGAACAAACTTTTAATTTCCTTTACCAAAGGATGCTTTCTGGCAAGTTTGGTTACAATTTGCCAAATTGTTCTGGAGAAGAAAACAAAAATGTATACAAAAAGACAGACAGACGAACATACAGATATACGGAAGAATCACAGACAAAATGTGATCAGAAAAGTTCATTTGAGCTTTCAGCTCATGTGAGCTAAATATACAGCTAAATGCACGCTGAATAGAATTTGATCAATAAAACGCACTCAAGGTAAGCTTTATATTTTACATATACATGTATATCTGTATACAGATGTGTGTATATAACTTAACATAAAATCTTTAATTTTAAAAATGTTTTGAAAATTATACGTGTATTTATTAAACTTTTCCTGTCGTCAAGTACTAGTATTTAGCCTTAAATAGCCACCATACTTACATCTATATATTTCGTCATCAAAGTAGAATCCATCCGGACATCCGTATGTGAAACTTTTTTCGCAGTTGACATGATTAAGATCACCTTTGCTCTCTAACCTAACACAGTTACCTATAAAATTAAAGAGATTTACAGAGAGTATTTTTCATACTCTTGTTTTTGACTTCATGTGATAATAAGATAATCTGCAATACGTACTACATTCTTTACATTTGCAAATGTTTCCCTTTATATAACACTACTGAAAGCGTACATCTATAACCGTATAAATACAGGTTCCTCGAACATCATAAACGTTCCACGAAATTTCTCAGTGACGTCATAAAGGGTAGACACGCTTTCAATGGTTTACATTTTTGATGCTGATATTGAAAAATAAAACATTTTACTCATTTTAAAAAGTCATAATCAGACCAACTTAAAATATGAATAAGTCACAAATGTAAATTAAATGATAAGGTATCAAATACGGGTTGGTACGAGATCAAATTCATCATAAAACCCTTCTGGCTTTTTGAATTTAATCTCGTGATCAACCCGTATTTATATCCCGATAGATGTTTAAAAATGATACCTTTCTAAAATACACGTTAATTTGCACTTTTGTAAAATTAAGATAGTTACCTTTTGCAAATGGACTCCTATTTCGATTAGTACAGAATTCAATAAGAGATGCAAGATATCTATCAGGTGCGCAGAGATATCGAAGTCCTTCCGAACAGTTCATTTTCTCTGACGCTTTCTGAAAAGCTGATTTGTTTTTAGGACACTCAGCGGTTGGAAAAACGTTGAAATCATAAGTGTACTGAAAAAATATAAATGAGAAAAAATCAATTTATAAAACTAGATATCTTATATATATTTACATTACTAAAACATCAAGAGACATTTAATATTCCACCTGAATTCAACTGGCATGATGTTTGATTAATCAACTTTGCATAAACTTGCTTTATCAAACAAATGATAATTCTTGCAAATCATTGGCTGCCTTTCGTCTTTTTGATGAGGACCAATTTGTTTGCATTCTTACTGCTAAAATAATGATAAAGACAAACTTGTCCTAAAAACGAAGTTATTTAAGGAAACGCTGTCTAGTTTGTTGGTTTTGCAAGTGCATCAACGACAGTTGGAAACGTGGGATAATTTGCATAACGAGCGAAGTATGTATAAAGATTAATTTGAAATTGATTTAACATTAAATTAATGTTGCTACGGAGATTTAAAACAATATGAAAATTTAAATATTTTAAAAGATTTCCGGTCAAAATTAAAATTATTGAAAGTAATTTATCCTTTAAGAAGGGACCCTGTTGCTACTGTTAAAAGGAAATAAGTCACGCACTACAGTGTACCATGATATTATTCCCATTTAGAATTTGACCTCAAGGTCAAATTATTCTATATAAATAAATTATCAAAACATTCTTCACAATATACTGCTTCACATGTTTTATACAAATATTACAGCTGACTTTAAAAAGTAAATAATTCAATGGAGTCTTATTTAGAAAAAAAATCATATTTTTAGCTTCATTGATTACATGTATCTCCGTTTGGGAAAGGGGTTAAACTTTCATATGAACAAACGATATATTTTTCTCCTTCACCGAAGGGTATCTGTGTCAAGTATGACTTACTAAGGTAAAACGACAGAATTGTTTAAGACGACAATTACAACAATAAAAACATTTTAAAAAGATGAAATTGTTCACTGACATAATTCTTGATTCTGAGGGGGTCTCATTTTTGTGGTTTTTCGAGGTATGAAGAGACCCACGAATTTACTCAACAATTCTTCATCCACGAAATTCATTCCCGCGAACCCATATTTTCCCCCAAAACTACGAAACTTTGACTAAATGAAAATATATTATTTTAAATTAACAGTCATTTAATTAATTATTGATTGATTTATCTATGTAAAGCTATTATATCCTTCATTCATGTATTTATATAATATAAAGTGCAAAACTTTGTAATTACATGTATGTTAATTTTCTAAATTTATTACTGATCTTTAGAAGTCCTTGAGGAATTCTAGAAAAGTCATTCCTTTCTCGAAACAGTACTCTAGAAAATCTTTCTACGCTCCTTTTCTGAAAATTCTCTGGAGGCACTTGCATGAATCACTTTCACTGTCTTACTTCGCATTCATATAAGCTGCTTAAATATATTTGAGAGAGCAAAGGCAATAGAAGATTCTGAATGCAATTTCAGTGATGCCCGAATGATTTCATCAAACAGTACAATACATGTTCTCATGACATCGGCTTTAATTTCTATTCTACTGCTGGGTGGATTGATATCAATGTAAAATGTAAAGCTTTGACACAGTTATCTCTTAAATCATAATGTTTAGAAGCCTTTAGTCATGATAATAGCAAACCTTGTGTCCACTTGGCAGAGTATCAGCGTAAAGCACAACCGTTACAATGCAGACAAATATCTCTCCAAGATACTTCAGAGGTGACGCCATTTTGATTCTTAGCACTAAAAAATGAAAATGCCAATATACTAGTATTGCTTTTTAAATAAAAGTATAATTTAGTGTAATCATGAATACGTCCAATATACTCGTACTTGTATAATGACATGAACATTCTTACCTCACCAGATGGAAATATGGTGTTATTTCTACTGTTCTGTCATAGCTGCAATTTTTTCTGCAATAAAATTGCGGTTTTTTCTATATTGCAAGGGATATATTGACCAATTTTTACAGACTGAAAGGTATTTGAAAATCGTAAGCACGCATTGATCAATATCAATATGCCTCGCAAAATGTATCTATAGACTAGATTCTAAACATCCGAATGAACAGTTGAATTCTTCCTATTGTCGTTTTGTAATAAAACTTATGGAGATAACTAAGAGTGTTCAAGCTCAAAAGTCCATCTAAAAATAGAAGTTGGAGCAATGTAAACAGGAATAAGAATTCTGTCAAAATTGATGTAACAAAGTTTAAAACCTGTGATTTGGGTTTATTTAAGAAAGAGCATGGTTGCATCGTGCATGCATTGACCTTTTGTATGGAGAAGGTGTTTAACTAAATTATGCATGCTTAAAGCTTGTTGCTTAATCCATTAGGATTTTCTAAATAGATTTCATTTTGTATAGTTATTCCCAGCTATATCAGCCATAGAAGTTTTGCTGGAATATGGAGATAACGGACGGTAATATAGCTGAAAAGTCCACTGAGACAATCGAATTGGGAGAAGAGCTAACACAGACCTCTGAAACCATTAGAGATATAGGATCAGGTGCCGTAGAGCAATAAACATCCCCAATTTAACTGAAGGAAAAAACCTATATTCGAATCACAATAAATTCACGATCTTCAAAGAGTACAGTTGGTATATGCATATTTGTAAAAATCTTGAACACTTAATCAGGCCTAGGGGCTCTTGCAGTGGTATACTTCTATTGCAGATAAAGGGACTAGTTGCGCTCAAACAGTTCCTAATCGATGTTGATTGATCGAAAGTTTCTGAAAACTAAATTTGAAATTTCCTAAACAATCAATAATATTTATTTTTAATCGGAATATCTATTTAATATTACTTTAATTTCATTTCACTCTTATTTAAAGCCAGAAAAAGTTTGAATGTGCGAGAGAATGTGAACAAAAATTTTACTATCTCACTTAATATGTCTCTTTTAAAAAATTTTGAAAATTATATCAAACATTAAGATAAAAATTAAAGCGTAAAAAAATCATATCATGTTTTTAAAAATGAAATATGAGAGCCTTATCTCTGCTCAATCAAAAATTAAAGGGAAAGACAATTTTGAGAAGTAGGTAAAACTTCACGGTCAAAGTCACAGGGTAAAAAGTAAGGGAAAATACTTATACAAAAATGAAAACCTTATATTTTCTCCTTCAAAAGTTATGTCCAATTAAAAGTAATGTTAAATTTTGTGAAAAGAAGGTCAAAGTTCAAGATCAAGAGATAAAAAAAATCATATTATATTTTGAAAGTTATAGTAACAAGTAATAAACATGTGAAATATGAAAGTCATATCTCTTCTCATTCAAAAGTTATTACCAAGGTTAAAGACTTTTACGACCGACGGACAGACTGACAGTGTTCGACATATCCATATACAAATCACGTATATGGAAATGTTGATGTAACATTTACACATGCATTTTAACACTTTATAAACAATTCTTACTACTGGCTAAGCTCAAACAATTCAACATGTTCAATAACGCCAATAATCTTTAATCCAATCTAAACAAACACCTTGGCAGGTAGTCAGCAATTAGTCACAGTCTTAAATTAAATTTCAATCCGTGGTATTGTTTTTTAAAATAAAGATGTGCCAATTATGAAATACAAAGGTTTGTAAAGATCTCATATGACGTATTGTTTACATTCTTCTGAAATTGTTCATTATTTTGTATCTGCTAAATCAGGGCCAAGATATTTGAGAATTAAACAAGAAAACAACAATTTATGTTTAATTAAAACCGGATGTGCAAAGACGACGGGCGTATTTGGCATGATTTGGATTTGGAATCATTTAATTGTACAAAAAAGTTATAGTTTAAACATGTTAAATGTTCAAAATTTGGTCTGCTGACCATAGCTGGACAGACATCACAAAAGTTACACACATACATACATAGAAAATTTTACATTTTGTTTTAAATACCTTGTCAGATTGCAATATTTAGAGGTACAATAACATAATAATGGTTCACAAAAATGAACATCTATAAGATAATAACACATAGATAATAAGTGTGTATCAAAGTTTCAGTTGGACCGTAGATCGAATTGCCATGGCTCTTGGTGCAACTGGACCAAAATTAAATTAATTTAAACTTTTAGTTAATGAAAATAAAACGGACAAAAGAATTAATTATTGTCATAGTATTAGGTTTCACTTATTAACTTTTCAATACCAGTGCAATGAACAGGGTTCCGATATTACTGCTCAATCATCGTTACGCACACAGTGTGGAATTTGAGACGACAATCAAGCACCGCATTTACACAATAAAAATTTTTATTTTATGGGGATGTCTGTTTTGGTCTCTGGATCCTTCGATTTTTTTAAACAAATGTATGTTCATTTCTTTAAATTAAAATGCACACAAATAACGCTTCAAACCTAGAGATTGCACACGTAGGAAAAAAACAAGTTTGAAAATGTTCTATTTTGTACGAAATGCCCGATCTAGCCAATTTTTATGTTGTTGCTTTAGCAATTCAAAAAAACATCTGGAAAATATTTGCCTTTCCTATTTCACAGGAACCAGATACATCATAAGAATGCTAAATTTTCATGTGACACGTCGATGAAATTTTCATTTGCAAGCCTGCTGAATGCCCCTCTAATGTGACCTTGTTCTTTAAAAACGGAAATTATAACATTAGCTCTTCTATATTCCCCATAATATACCACTTCCGTAACATGTAAGATTTGTAATGAGAGTACTTTTTAGTGCAGATTTAAACAAACTTTAAGGCGTAAATTGGAAAAAACCCAGATAATTACTTTATATGCATGTTTTCAGTTTATGGACCAGAATCATGCGTTCTTCCGTCAGTCCAATATAAAACTCGGAATTTGATGAAAATTACTGCTCCCACTATGCATTGTTTGAAAGGACCAATGAGCTTAATTCTTGTGTATGTGTATAAATCTTTGAAAATTACGTAGCGAATTTATGGACTCTAAAAATCTTAAAAGTTTATACCATCTTAATATAACAAATTTAATTTCAATACATATATAAGTATTTTTTTGTTTTTGTTTCATATATGTGAAATGTGTAAATAAAGATATACATGGGTAAAAGATTTATTAAATCTTGATAATAAAACCCAAAAGAATACTCTACAGAAGTTATTTAGCTGGGGTGTGCCTTATAATTCAGTATTGCCAGACCTGCAGACGAAGAGGGAAAAGATCTAGAAGAGGGAAAATCTTATGGGTATTCCCACCTAAGGTGGCATATTTCTGCTCCCTACATGCAAGATAATTATGTTGATATGCAAGTTACAAATCTTGTATGATAATCTGATTTTAATTTGGTTAAAATCACGAACGTAAGCCCGTATCTGACATAGAAGATGAAGATGCAACATAATTATGACAAGATGCCGTTTACTTATGTAAACGTGCGAGATAATTATGTAGACATGCAAGGTATTTATGTCAACATGCTAGTTAATTATGTAGACATGCAACTTATGTGAACATGCAAGTAAATTATGTTAACATGCAGGATAATTATGTAGACAAGATATTTATGTCCACATGCTACTTATTTATGTCAATATGAAACTTTAGTTATGTCAACATGCAAATTATATTTTTACATACAAAATATTCATGTCAACATGCAAGATAATAAGTTGCATATCAACTTACATTCATGTTTTTCCGCATGTCAACATAATTATCTTAACTTGCATGAAATAAATAAGTCGCATGTTGACATAATTATCTTGCATGTTAAGATAAATAAGTCGCCTATTGACATAATTATCTTGCATGTTGACATAAATAAGTCGCATGTTAACATAATTATCTTGCATGTTGTCATAAATAAGTTGCATGTCTACATAATTATGTTGCATCTTGCATCTAAAATGTCAGATGCAGGTGTAAGTAAGTAAATTTAACCATATTGAAATTATATTTTCTTATAAGATTGGTAACTTGCATATCAACATAATTAACTTGCATGTTTACATAAATATGTTGCATGTTTACATAAATATGTTGCATGTTTACATAATTATGTTGCATGTTTACATAATTCATCTTGCATGTAGTGGGCAGAAATATGCCACCATAGATATCAGACGTATACAGGCGTTAGAAAGTAAATTTTCCAATATTTACATTATTTTTTCTTATAAAATTTGTAACTTGCATGTCAACATAATTAACTTGCATGTTACATAAATATGTAGCATATCTATATAATAATGTTGTACATGTATACTAACATAATCTATCTTGCATGTAGGGGGCAGATGCCACCATAAAAAGGCAAGGTTAGGATACATTAATTTAATTCAGGCAATGTGTCTATGGTCATTCGATGTTCGTGATGAGCACTCTTACAGGCGATAAATATTAATAAATTATTCATGCAATAGAGTCTTCATTTAGTAATTATGTTACGCAGTCTGGGATAATCTGTTGATATTTGAGCACAGTTGTAATGTTTAAGAATTTGGAGTTAATTGTGTGTGACCCACCCATGCAGCTAGTCGATAAATAAATTGATGCACTGTTTGTTTACACAGAATCAATTTTCGAACTTTTACGAAAAATCATACGCAAATAAAATTTAAGCAAATATGCAATAACCAGAACATTAGTTCTATTTAATTCGTTTTAAATACTATAGGTTGATGTACAATAAAATATTACGTACCTCAGCTTGCTCACACAGCATCAAAATACATTATGTAAGAATTTGTTGTTAAATGTCTGACCTACTTTAAATAAATGTTTTTAAAAAATCTTGTCGGCGGTAAAAAGCTGTTTTCAATCGATAAGAGCATGCAGACGACAACAGATCAGAAAGTCAAATTTTGCTAAAATTAGCAAATCAAATGTTTTTTTTCTCTGATCTCAGTTACAGACAAAAAGGTGGAATAGATTACACAGAGATGAAAAAATTAGTAAGAAAAGCGATTTAAATTATTGATTACATGTTGATTATAAAGACGTCAATATTTTAAAAAAATGGACAAGAAATAAAACTTCAATTCTTCTCTAACCCCCGGGGTCATGAAAGAATATAAAATCCAAAGAAGTATCAGGAAGTCTTGGGGCTATAACAATATTTCAACAATATTCCACCTCGAAATCAAAATAAACAAGAAATATAATATCTCTTTCATCCCTTTAATGGCTCAACCCGGGCCGGGCTCTTGAAAAATGAAAAAAAAATTAACAATTCATGCTTCCTCTGAATGCTTTGATACAGATCTCACTTTGTTCTTGAAAACAATTTTTTATCGCTCACCTGAGTTTATTCATGTGATAAAGTCAGCTGCATTATTATCTGTTTTTGTCTGTGGTCCTGTGGTAACATATTAACATTTTCGGCTTCTCTTAAATGTCTGATTCAATATCAACCAATTACGAGAAGATGGACTTTAACATAGCGACAGAAACTCTTGGTAGAGCAGGAGGAAGAGGATTGGGTTCAATGATTTCGAACATTCATGATTATAAAGATGTTGGATTTCATACCTACGAGAAGCTTTTTCAATCTTGTGTGATCCCTATTTTAGATTATTGTTCCGGGGTTAGGGGATTCAAAACATATTATTCTTTAGAAGTTGTACAAAATCGTGCTATTCGATATTTTTAGGACTACATAGATACGCACCCGCAATCGCATTAAACAGTGAAGTTGGATGGATAACACCGACATACAGACACATGATTAGAGGATGGAACCGATTAATTGATATGGACGATAACAGACTCACCAAAAAAGTTTTTTTATGGAATCATCAAAATAGTGGAACATTGTGTTCACAAATTAAATATGCAAACCAATTTTGATTACCTCCGAATATGTGATTTAAATCAAGCCAAATTTGAATTGTTTGCGCCTTGCGAAGATTGATGATTGATTGATTCTACATTGTTTAACGTCCCTCTTGAGAATTTTTCACTAATATGGAGACGTCACCGTATGCCGGTGAAGGGCTTCAAATTTTGACCTTTACTCGGCACTCAGGGCCATTGAGCAGTGAGGGATCTTTATCGTGCCAACGCCTGCCGCTGACACGGGGCCTCGGTTTTTAAGGTCTTATCTGAAGGACCCGCAACTTTCACTTCAAAGTGCCAAGCGCATGGCGAAGGAACAGTTGCTACCTATTTTAACGACCTGGGGGTCGTATCATAAAGCCTACTTAAGTCTTAGACCGTGCTTAAGTAGGACTTAAGTACAGTCTAAAACTTAAGACCGTAACTAGAAGCGTACTTAGATTTGGCAATCTTAGCAAAACTTAGGCGGCCAGTAGAGGTGACTTAAGTATATCTTAACTTTCTTATACATATATTTAGAATTATTCAATGTTGACTTTCGATGTTTTAAGTTTCCTCTATTCATATTATGCATTAAAGAAAATAATTATCTATATTTGACGCTGATTTAAGAATTTTATTTTTTCGTTGGGAGGGGGGTGGGGATAGGGTGGGGTGATCACTGATCCCAATTTTACTCACAGCACAGCACAGCGCTACCAGCATACATGTCAACACAAATTTTAGTTTTAGGGATATGTCTGAAATTAGTGAGACTTCGGTCATAGAAATATCCCGATTTTTGTTTTGTATCCTTGATTATAAGTATATCATTAAACTTCTGCATTTTTTGCTTCTGACATACATAGCATTATACATAGCAGGGATTCAAAATGCATCGAACTTTTTAGAGTTTCAATTTCAAGTGAATAGGCGATCGATTATCTTTTCTTGTCTGCGATAATAACAGGCTAGGGTAAGTGAACATTTATCAAAACAAAAGAGTTACAAGAGGTAAACTGAAAACACCTCAGGTGATAAAACAATTGTCGTGAACATTTACAATGAACCACAATTCGCCATTTTCTGACCGTGCAGTATTTGTTTTCAAACATTCCAATAGTTTATAACATAATTATAATTTTAATACGAAATCTAATCTAACATAACTTAAACCGATAGGTAAGGACGTCAACTTTAATATGTAATTAATTAAAACCCTAACTGAATCACATTTAGCAATATATCTATATAAATCAAAAAATATAGGTGGACTCATGTGAAATATTTTTAACATAAGTCTGACTTAGCTAGGACCTAGCTTAGTTCGCTTTATGTTACGGTTTAAGACATACTTAAGCAGTACTTAGACAGGTCCTAAGATTGTGCCTAAACCGTACTTACGACCCTACTTAAGTCAACTTAAGTCAAAAACTTAGCAAGCTTTATGTTACGAGCCCTAGGTCAGTCGCGGCCGAGATACGAACTCACGACCTCCCGATCACGGAGCGAGCGCTCTACCGACTGAGCTACCGTGAACGGTGCCTTGCGAAGAAGAATGGAAATTGAAAATATCGTCGTTACCCAAAGTGAGAACATTTGTGACCTTCAAAATAAGTTTGAAATGGAACCTTACAAGCTGCCAAGTTTTTATATTTATGTTTTCACTAAGACAAAAATATTTATATCAATTAAATTAATATAATGTCCATCATGCGCGCTATCTTTAAATACTGTACATATATTAAAGCTGACATGAACTCTTAAAAAGGCATCAGTTTTCATCTTTGTACGACTTACTACGTTCCTGTACGCCCTTATCCGCCATATTTCTTCGATTCCGCCATATTAAAGCTGACATGAATTCTTAAAAACGCAACATTTTCATCTATGTACGACTTGTTTCATACCAACTATACCCGTATTCCGCCATATTTCTTTCAGATACATTGTCTCATTGTAACGATATATACCCCAATGCGCTCGTTACACTTGAATGATTTTTCGGTTTGGGTATCGGCTTGTGCACATCTCCGATGGTAAAGCATATCAGAACACATGAGGTGATCAAGACATTTCAAAACTACAATAAACAACATAATAATCATATTTCTGAATAATTATTGATTTGAATCAAAAGAAAAAAATGCAAGTTTGGAAGAGAAATTTAGATGCACGAGTACGTATTTTTACAGTGCGCCAATTTATGCAAAATAAACTTGAAATAAATAGAAGTAAAATCTGCAAACACATTTTGAAATTATATCATTTAAATGGAACAAAACAACCAACGTCTTTGATTTGCAGCTCCTATGCAATTGATGCATATCGAGAAAACGCCTCGAACGCTGTAAACGTACCTTTATCTGATAATAAGGTTACTGCATCGGTTCGAAGATGTGCACAAGTCAAGTGATATACACCCTGAATCCCATTTATTGAAATATGCATCACAAAAAAGAAATAAACTCCGTAAAAGCTTAATAGTAAACACACTGTCATTACTCCGTACAGACTATCACGTCGATACACTTAGTCCGTGCTGATCAGATTTTGGTCAGGGAAAATATCACAAGTGGAAAGAGAAGTTATTTGCGCGGTTGAGAGGGGGAGGGGGGTATTATAACTGCTGTTCATAAGCTATATAATTGTGAATTGTCTATCTACATGTAGTTCTAATATACATTCTATACAAAGTCATGTATATAGTCTGCAGTTGGTTTGCGTCGCAAAATTCATTTGTCAATTATAACTTATTATTTTAGTACTAATCTCAAATCTAAACTAAGTAATTTGATGTACGGTAATTATTTCCTTCAAATCTTAAAAGCAATTAACCAGTATGCAATTTTTTTATGTGTACATCTATACGGTCTTTAACACACAAACACACGGAGAAAGGCCATCCCCTGTTCAGATTGACATTTATGCATTTAATTTATTTTTAGGCGGGGGGGGGGGCATACAAAAATAATTGACATGACCGTTATTTAAATATTCTTGGAAGACAGACATTTCTACCGAATTCAATTTTGAGATTTTTTAAAAATGTGTCACTCCAACCACAAAGTATGTGCATTTTGAGGAATGTAACTGTTTTATAATTATGTTGTTATATAGAGTCTTTCGGGATTTCAGTTTCCCTGCCTGATAGTCCAGCTATTTTCTTTTTTTTTTTATAAAAATAATTTCTGTAGGAGTATTTGGGAGATAAGATAGGTTAGGGATACTTGACACTGGATGAATACGGATAATTTTTATTTACTCTCTCTCTCTCTTTCTCTCTCTCACTCTGTAACCATCCGTTAGGGCAATAATATTATACTTCTGTTAAAATGTTTCCTATATAAAGTTCAGAAGGTAAAATAACTATTCTTAATAGTCTGAAAATTTCCCCGCATAGAAAGCTATACCCCGGGGTATAGTTTTTGCTACCAACCCCTCGGAAAATTTTCATGCAATTTTTGACGCCAATTTTAATTTCTAGCGTTAAATCCATAGCCTGATGATGTCATAATGACTTCAGTAGTATTGTGACGTCATCAGTATTTCAGCTCATTCTTGCAGTATTTTAACTCCAAAGAAATTTCATCTTTTGACGAGATTTTTCTTGTGAAAGGAGGGGGTTGGGGTGGGGGGGGGGAATGCATAACAGTTTCCTAAAATAAATAAATTAAACAAACATCTGAAAAAGATCGGATATTCATTACGATCAATTATTTTCAAAAAATACTGTGTACTGGTTTTTTTTTTTAAATATAGACCTAATATAACTTGATTTAAAGTTATTTATAATTTTTTACACAATAAACGAGTTTGATTCTGTGGTACATGAATGATCAAATTAGAATTAATTAGTGGATCCAGATGGGGCGAGTTCTGGGGGGTTGGAACCCCCCTTTATTTTCGTACACACACAGAGAGAATTTTTTTCCTTCTGAATATAGATATTCATGCGT